TAAAAAAAAAAAAAAAGTCATATAATATATGCTTTATGGGTCTTCAACATTTTATAAGTGTGGCTGCTTATAATCTTTCACTTATGACATTCATATTCTCGACATTTTAATGTGCAAGAGCATAAAAATAGTCAAAATTATTTTTTAAACTAAAAATAAAAGGTCATTTTTTAACTTATATTAAATAATTGTTCTTTTAGTACAAAATGCCCTTTTAGTCCCGTTTGGCCTCAGTCTCTTTCATTTTTTTCTCATTTATTTTCAACCATATAATCTTTTATAAAATAATATTACACACATTCATTTTCAACCACATATTTTTTAAAAAATATACATTAAAATTTGAAAAAACACATTTTTTCAAAAAATATATATTAAAATTTGAAAAAAAAAATAGGGGCCAAACAGGAGCTTAATTACACATCATGTGCTTGTTTGTATGATCATTTAAAATTTAAAATTGATATTTTTCGTCGTTGTAAATATTTGGTACACAGTGTTAAAAGTTGATAATATAAGTGCATAAAATGAAACTTTATAACATAACTGCCACTTTTATAAGAGACTAGAGACCTTAGGAGTTATTAATTCTAATTACAATTGATTTATTTATTGAACGATTTTATTTGTAAGGGAATTATTTTGTTTAAATAAATTTATTTTTATAAGATTCTCAATCAATAATTTTGTCTTTTCTATTTCTATGTATCAAAAAGTCATAATGACGATTACTTAACGACGGTGTCTTATGTTTGTTCCCATTGACTTCAACGGTCAAGGCTCTCATATGATATTGTCGGAATAATTACAGTTTAGATGTGTTCATCCATTTGTTGGGTCAAAATCAAAACCGAGTGAACTTGGTCCACTTGGTAAACGGGTTAAAAATACTTATATTGTTCCCCTTTTTTTTTTTTTTTCCTTTTTTCTAAGAATGTCCATGTTTTCATGCATTTTTCGAATTATTGTTCATCACACTTGAGCCCATGTTCGAGCCCCGTTATTTGGCAGAAAATATATTTTAAAATAGTAGATTGGTGGAGAATGTATGAATAAAAAATAAGAAAAATTTTAGATTTGTATATAATATTATTGTATTGAAAAATGTATGATTGAAAAGAAGATAAATAAAGTATAATTTGAAAATAATGGAAATCAAACAAGGGTTGAAATTTTATATATCAAACTTGAACATTGGTCCGCTAATTCATTAGATGTCTACAAAACTCGATATTTTCCATCCATCAAACTAGTCCTTGTTTGAGCTCCATTATAAAAAGAAATTTTAGAAAAATGCTTTATGAAATAGTATAATGTATGGTTAAAAAAGAAGGATTTTTTTTTATTTACATGTAATATTATTTTATTAAAAACATGAAGTTGAAAATAAGAGAGAAAAAAATGTATTAAAATTTTAACGAGTGTCATACAAGAGCTAAAGACTATTTACAACATCCACCCATTCCAAAATTTCCTTCGTTTCTTTAGAAATTCTTTGTTTTTATATTCAAAATTCTGTCATGATATCAAACCACCAATTCTAGACTCAACATATTTAAGCCATAAGCCCACCGTGGGATGATCGAGTTAATGGAGTAGGTGAGCGCGGAGGCCTTTGCTCACGAGTTCAATTCCCCTTACCAACACTTTTTCGGTTGAACCTGTTGCACCAAGCTTGTCTAGTGCGGTTTACCTGACTGGCGTGGTTTGTAGGCTATTACGTCAGTCCGAGAGTTTATCTAGTGCGTACCCAAAGACTAACGACTGCGGATTCCTCCGTCATATAAATAAAATAAAAATCCATATTTAAGCCATATCTTTCCTTAATTCATTGTCCCAAATACTCAAAAATGCATAAAAACATGGAAATTCAAATTTACAAAAAAACCATGATAGTACAAATTTTTTCTCTTAAATTTATATCCTAAATTCTATCTTCTTTAGCTCATTTGAGACTCATCAAATCCTTCCAAAAAATTTATATCAAAATATTACTTTTACAATACTTATAAAATATTTTAAAATAACGTACAATGCATATTCAACTCTGATATATAGCAATATTGCAAATTAGATTCAAGTAATATCGACCAATTCATTTTTCCATTTGCCCAAGAAATTTCCACAACTAGTTACCGTTCGATAGGGTATGTTTCAGGATTTAGTTTCACAAAAAAGACAATATTTTGGTGTTTTTGGGGTATTATGATGTAAATTGGGATCAAACTATAAGGGTGTTATAGTCCTTTAAGGCCAAACAAGGGGTATTGTAATCCACTGTTAGGGGTATAAAATTTTGGTCCTAGATGCAAATATTTCAAATTTTGGTCAATTTTAATAATGGGGTGTCAAAATTCTATATTCCTTTTATACATAATTAGCATGTAATTGCAGGTGAATTTGTAAGAATGTTGTGACAATATTTCAAGAAAATTTTGAAAGCAATCAATAGTTATCTATTGATTTTTCAGAGGACGTTTATTCAGATACAAAAAACTTAAAATGTATAAGAAATACAAATATTTAAGATAACATCATTTAACATTCTCATAAATTCGCATAAAAAAGAAATCCCATTTTGTGTCACATCAAAATCAATTCTTCCAATTTTTATTTTTTATATTTTTTAATCCGATTGTAAGTGTAAACTATGAATCTACAAAATACACTTTTGAAATTATATCCCGTTGCAAAATTTTTATTCACATGTGATGATAGTTTATCGGTATTAATGTCGCACAATCCCAATCCGCAGCCTCATTATCTTTATATTAAAAGAATATTATACTGCAAAACCATTCTAATCGCGTTTGTTTAACAAACAATTAAATTATGATGTACATTTTATTTTAAACAGCTATGCACATTGCATGATTGTAATACACATTTGTGTTTGCTTAGTTTATAAAAAAAATTTGATTGTTTTTTCAATACACACACATATATGGACTGCATTATATCATGAAAAAATAACATTAAAAAATCATCGATCATTATCGATATACCTTATTAACAATTAAACATTGCTACTCTACATAACGTGTTATTGCTGACAACCAGTTACGATTGATTTGCAATGTCTATTATTATTCCTCATAATTGACAACTCTAGTAAAAAACTGAAAAAAATCAAAAAGGTTCCCTTTTCATATTTTCACGGCTATTCCTGTCAAGAATATATTTGGCTCAATTCGGTCAAAAT